CGCGGTACTCAGCCAGAGAACCGGTGTAACTGCTGCTAATAAGAGTGTGTGCAGACAGTATCGTGCGGTTTAACAGAAGAAGAAGAAGAGGAGGAGTTTCTCACACGCCGAGGCTGCCGCGGTGCATTGTGGGAGCCGCCGATTGGCGCACTTCCGCTGCCACTGTGCGCGCGAGACGGTAAATAACAGCGACGCTCCGCTCGAAACGCTCTTTAAACAGCGCTTCTGCTGAGGTAAGGCGGAGGAAATACATCTGTGCTCGGTGTAGTGGTTGTTTTAGGCGGACACGGTCGTGTTCCGTGTGAGTTTGAGTTAGTTTGAGAGAAATCCTGACGCGCTTCAGCCGCGAAATCCGTCCAAAATAACGGATGTTTCACAAACGCCGAGAAACACCATAAACGCCTCCGTTCCTGCTTTAAACGTCTGATAGTGCGTCCCTAGAGTGTTCTCTTTGTAGCCCGAGTGCAGCTGCTAAGAACAGCGGGGCGCCTCGTAGAGAAATTGTCGAAGTTTATCGTTAGTTCTTCTCTTTCTCGCTCAGTTTTCGGCGCGGATCAAACACAGGCGCCATGATGCTCAGATGAGGGGCGGGGCTTACGCCGACCGTCGGCTCTGTTTCCTGTCCTCTGATTGGTCGGCTCATGAATATGTGATTATAATGAGGCATGATTGACATGTTGAGCTTGCTGTTGTTTTCAAGCATCATTTTGATCCAGCTGTGCTTTTATGACTGTGACATGATTATTATATTTTTGAAATATCGTTTTTTTTATAGATCTTTTTTTAAGCAGGGGTTTTCAAGCTGGTTCGTGAAAAATTTGGAGGGGGAAAAAGAGTGTAATATAAATAATTAACAAATAAGATTAAACTAATTAACTAAAGAAATACATTTGATTAAAATAAACAATACATCAATTAATTTATAATAAATAAATGTGATAAATTATTTAAATCAAACTAATTTAAAAAGTGATTAAAATAGGTTAATTACTTAAATGATGATATTAAAATAGTTAAAAATAAAATTATTGAAATATTTAATCACATTTATTTGTTTTAATCTATTAATTGTAATTTATTTTAATCAATTTGCTTTTTATGAATGAAAAACGTTTTATTCATTCATTTATATAATTTACTTATTTTAATTAAATGGATTTTATTTACTTAATCATGATGTTTTAGTTACTTAAATCATTTTAAATGAAGTAATTTGAATAAATGAATTAACAGAACAGTGAGTAGAGAAAAAACAGTGATGTTATATTTTGCAAACAATATTTTTACAGATATTTATAAAAAACAATCACAGTATATTGGGTCTACACACAAATATATAGCTGCGTTGTAAATGTTAGTATGGGGCCTGCGGCAGACTGAGAGAGTACAGTGTGTGTGTGTGTGTGTGTGAGCAGTACAGTATCTTCTGTGTGTGTGTGTGTGTAATGTTGTGTGTGTTGTGTTTGAGGTGAGCGTGTGTCAGGATGGCCCGCACGAAGCAGACCGCCCGTAAATCCACCGGAGGAAAAGCTCCTCGTAAGCAGCTGGCGACTAAAGCGGCCCGTAAGAGTGCGCCCTCTACTGGCGGAGTCAAGAAGCCCCATCGCTACAGGTACTGAGCCGCGAGTGGTGTCTGGTCTGGAGCCGCGGGACGAGCGCTGACGGCTCTGTGTGTGTCTGTAGGCCCGGGACCGTGGCTCTGCGTGAGATCCGCCGCTACCAGAAGTCCACCGAGCTGCTGATCCGCAAGCTTCCCTTCCAGCGTCTGGTGCGAGAGATCGCTCAGGACTTCAAGACCGACCTGCGCTTCCAGAGCGCCGCCATCGGAGCGCTGCAGGTCAGTCCTGCTCAGGGCTATTATAGTGAACCAGTAAACTGCGTTTAGCTGATCACAAATACTGTAAAAACAGGGAAATATTATTAGAATGTTTCTGTGTGAATCTCTGTTAAACTGTAATGTATTTCTGTGATGCGCAGCTGTATTTTCAGCATCATT